CCTCTCTCCTCTCTCTCTCAGGATTAAACTGGGAACCTTGTGCTTGCCATGCAGGTGCTTAAGCTGCTGAGTTATCTCTCTGGCCTGACAATTCAATTTCTGACCTGACATTCGCATCTCCTTTTAGTCTTCTGGAACTATAGTGCACTTCATAAAGAGCCCACGGTAGCCAGTTCTATTGCTCTGTCCCTGTTTTTATTGGTCATTAGTACATCAGTTCCTTTCCATAAGGAATGCCCCGAGGAGTGAAAAATCACTCCTCTTAACACATTTAACTTTGCCTATTATCCTTTTATTTTATTTATTTATTTATTTAATTTTATCTTGCTTCTTTTTGTGAGCATTTCCAGACCAGAGTAGACTTAGTAGAGTCTATGAACTTACATCTGATTCTGCTAATAGCATACCCTTTGCTGTTTATTTAAACTCTCATGTGCATTGACATTACTTTTCAAACGCTTGTTTGAAAAACAAGGTTTGTTTGAAAAACAAGTAGGTGAATTATTATGTGTAACATGTTAGTGTGAATGTCTGTTATTTTTAAATGTGAAAAAAAGTTTGTGAGCTTAAGGCCTAGGCTTGCATATATTAATCCTATGCCTATTGCAGTTGCTCTATAATTACAGAGAAGTAAATAATGCTGAACTTGTTTTGATTCTAGATTCAAAAAGAGTTGCTACAGGAATACAATTTTGTAACTTCAGTTTCGTATAAATTTGAGACTCTTAAGATGGAATCTTACGTCAGATTTTTAAACATCTCAATTTTTCTTTTTTTGCTATTGTAAAACATAATTCCTCTCTCATTTCTGTCTTTTCTTCATCAAAGAGAGACTTTCAGGATTTTTCTTTTAAGGAGTTAGACATTAGATAATGTAGTTTTTGACATGCTAAAGTTAAGATGCCTGTAGTACTTTTGCATGTTAAATGTCATGTAATTAGATATTTGAAAAATCTGAACCTTAGGAGTTTTGGCTTCTGAATTAGGAATCAGTTATGTCTGTGTGCGTATGTTCCTATTTGCCTCCCAAGGATGAAATGTAAATAGGATAATTAATATTGGAACCTTATAGAGTTAGCTGCATTTGAAAGGCAACTGATAGAGACTTAGGCAAGGAGGTAAAAAGTGATGTTAAACCCTAGAGAAAAAAAGACGTACTTATGAATGAGTAAGATGTAATTGATGTGTCACATGCTACAGGGAAGCTAGGAGCGGAAAGATTTTAGGATCGGTTGTATTTGGCTGGAGATGATCTTTAGGTATTTTGATGAGAGCTGTTTTAATTCTGTGATGAGAAGGAAATAGGTATCATAAATTAACTGAAGTGAGATTAAGAATTTGGGGGCATCAATATGGACTATTTTTTTAAAATAGGAGTTTGGCTTTAAAGGATTAAAAAGTAAAGGGTGATAGGATATTCTGAAAGACTGAATTAAATAAATTTTTTACTTTTAAAAACTATTACTTTTAAAGAGAGGAGAAGTAGTGAAATAATCCAGTAGAGAAAGAGAGGTTCAGGAAGTAGAAGAGCTGGCAGGATTGATACAGTGAAGCTCCTGCTAGATGGGGAAGGGCTGATCTGTGTAAGGAGCAAAGAGCTCTTTTCCTCAGAGCCAGGAGAGGGTAACAGATTAGAGATGAGTAGATTTCAGAATGGTCCTGCTAGAACATTTCTGAGGCATTAATTGCCTCAATTTTTCCCTGAAAGTGGAGCTGTACTGTATTACTAAAAGTGAGGGAAAGATGGTAGAGTGTAAGATGAGCCTTTTGGAATGGCCGTTTGTGAACTGGGTGGGTAGAGGCATGTGGAGGAAATTTCAGTTGCTAATAAGATGGCTTTCAGGGTACAGTCACATAACTGATCTTTCCTTGTGGATTTTCCTTGGAAGACTCCAGACTTGAGATAGGAATTTGGACATTATTTAGTTCAGCCAGAATTAATGATTTCATTGTTAAAGTTCAGCAGGTGACCAGTTTCGCAAAGGAGTTTGAAACATAAGAATACATCTAAAGTAAAAGAATATAGAGGTTAGGTTATAGGTTGTAGGATTTAAAGACAGTAAAAGAAATGTCAGGGGTAGTAATTTCTGATCATAAAGAATAGCTGTAGCAGTAGGAAGGTGGTGAAAGGCCTGTTTGGATTGGTAGATAAGACCAGAAATGGGGCTGGTGGCTGAGGGAACAACCTTTACCTTAAAGGTTGCAGTTCTGATGAAAGTATAAAGGTAGAGTCCTTGGAGTCAGTATCTGAAGTGCATGTACTCAGCATTATCTGAGAATTGGGGAGTTTAGTAATAGTCTCTGGGGTCAGCTTAGCTGGGTACCAATCCCCATGCCCTTCTTGTTTAGTCCTCATGCTTCCTTGGGCCAAATTTTTAACTTCATCAGCACTGGTTTGCTATGACCTTAACTTGGGTTTGTGATGGGATTGAATGAGGCAGTTCATGGAAAGTGTTTGTTCAGGCTCTGGCACAAGTCAGTTGCTCATTAAGTTTCAGTGTTCATTGCAGAATAGTTGTAATTGTTTTTTATTATTTGAACTGTATTTATCATTTAGATCTTAGCATATGTGCCAATACCCAAGAGAGATCCTTGCTAGTCGTACTGTACAGTGCACACCTCTTCAGGTAACTTTCCATCATGTGTTAGCAGTTAGTACTATCCACTGTTGTAATTGACTGTGGGCATGAATCCCCAGTTAGATTATGTAAGCCAGGACTAATTAATTTCTCTTTAAATCATGTGTCTGACACATAGTAAGTATAATCACCTTTGTTCTAAGTATTTGTTCCAAAAATGAAAAAAACTAGATCTACCTCACTTTTGGGTAGAATCAACTGGTTAATAAAATTGATCAAAATATTGGTAAAACGGTTAGAATAATTGCAAAGGTGGATCACGGTCAATAGAATTTTGTGATATCATTTAAAAAATTTTTTTTAATTTAGTTTTTATGTGTTTAGTACAGGGTCTACAGGGTCTGACTACACAGATTGGACTTGCAGTGATAATGCTGTTTTCAGCCTCCCAAGCACTGGGATTTTAGGCATGCACCACCACGCAGTCTCAGCTGGCCTTGGGTGGGGCTGGCATAGCATGCTGGGGATTGAGCCCTGGTCCCTGCACCTGCCAAAGCAGGCGCTTTAATCTGCTGAGCTATCTGACCAGCCATTGTAATATAATTTTAAGGTTTTTTTTTTTTTTTTTTCTCTGAATGCCCTCAGGCATGGTTTGTCTGGCTGGAGTGTTGTGGGAGTCGAACTACAGCTACCTGAGGCTCACAGCTTTGTGGAAGCAGCCACTTAAAGAACTGAGCTATGGCCAGGCCCCCTGTAATATAATTTTAGAGTGTACTGTTTTCAATTTACTGTTTTGTTTGAATGGACTAAGGAGTGGCTCATACTTCTAGGATGCTTGAATTGAATAAACTGAGGAAATGCAAAACTGTTGCTCAGAAAAATGAATGTTTTCAAGGCATTATTATTTAACAGATTTTTGCCGTAATGTCAAACTGTGACTTTAATCTTGGGGAAATTGTGTTTAACTTTATTGGAGCCAGTTATCATGGCTATTGGAATTGAGTCCTAAAAATTCTACTGTTGAGGTGAGAAGACCTGTGTAAATACTTTCTGTTCAGTTGTTAGTAGCTTAGTATGAGATAGATATTTGCTCTTCCAGCTCATAGCGTCTTCCTACCCTTAGGAGCTCATTCTTATTTGGACACTTGACCATTTTATGTTCCTTGTGTTAGCCTTAGGTATTTGGAAACAAAGGGTGAGCAAGGGTAGCTTATGTGCCGTATTGTAAGCGCTTAATTCATAATTTGTCATTTCCTTACAAAGACTATGAGAGTGGATTAATGTTAATGGCTGTAACATTCTTTTACTGTTGTTTTTGAATTTAAATATTGTTCTTATATTAAAATATATTAATCTTAATGTTTAGTATAATTTCTAATATATTAATGACTGCCCTTATTTTATTTTCCTTTATTAAGTTTATTGGTACATTTTAGGTATGATCCTATTCATCATGTCAACTTGATTCTTTTTGTTTCCCATTTCTCTACTCTCCCTTCAACCTTTCTTTTCCTCCTTCTTTACAAAAGTTTTGTTTCCATTCTTCTTTCTTTTTTTCATTTATTTTCTTTTCCCTTCCTTTACCCCTTTTTCTCCCTAGTTCTCTTTCCCATCCATCTAGCAAGAAATGTCTCAGGCTTTTTCTTCTTTATTTACCTTTATTTTAGGAAGGTAAGATTTGAAAATTGTCTTCTTACTAGAAAAAATACTCATAAATTAAGTTTACCTAAAAAACTTTACTAAAGCGGTTCATGACAGCTTGAGAGAAGTGTTTCAATTTGCAACATTATGTCAGTTTAGCTGGAAATAACCTGTGTATGACCACTTTACTGGGAATCTTTCAAATTAACTTTTAAATATAGTATTATCTATACTGATGCTTCTGTCATTAATGCTGTGTTGCTGACTTTTATTTTATTGCAGTAAAATTTTATGTGCTGCCAGGGAGTGAAATCTTACATTACTTTTAATGGTTTTCTAATAATTGGACACATTCTAAATCACTGACATTCCTTCAACTGAATAAAGAATTATATTTTTACTGAAATAATATACATTGTTTTTCTCAACAGTGCCTTTTATTTTAGTAACAATAAAAATACACATATTTTTCATTTTTTTTAACAGATAA